AGGAGTTTGCAGCAGTCATAGGTCATGTGGAAAGACAGAAAACAAAGGGCAAAAAGAATTTCATATACAGATTTCTGCCATTTGCTTTCAATGGCATTCCTTTTGTGAAGCCCCAGTGACAGGTTCAGACCAGTTCAAACCTGAGGGCAGCACCGTTACCATGGGTGAGGTCTCCAGAAGAGCAAGGAAAGATCCCTAACATAGAAAATGGTGTGGCAGGTTCCAGTTCCCTGTTGGGGTCCCATGACTTGACCTTAGGTTTCTGCCAGCACCTGCCCACTCTCCATTCCTTCACCCTACTGGGTGGTCATTAGAGCATTATCTGCTTTGATTGATTTACTTGTGTCCGTAAGAGTAGAGACAAACGGTGTTATCCCCATGCCTGGAACAAAGCCTGGCCCACAGTAGACCCATGATCAATGTTCGTCAACTGAGTGACAGAGGGGCTGACTGGACTGTCATGTAAGCAATACCTTCCCATCATGGTCTCGGGAAGGTAAGTTCAGGGGCCCCAGAGTTACTGTGGCCCGTATCCCTCTGGCTGCATTCTGGGCAAGGAAAGGCGCTGAGCCAAGGCAACGCAAAAGGGCAGGTGTTCAGTGGGTTCCACCCCAGATCCTGGTGTTAACAGTCCACTGGGAGAAGTGGCCCAATTCGTGCTCATTACTCCCAATGGTCCTGCCTCCCTGCAGGCATTCTGGAGAAGCTGAGTCACAGGCTCTGAGAGTTAGGAGGAACTTAGGAAACAATCAAAACTTGCCTGCCATTCATTTCAGGAAGCCGCTATAGTTTCTGAAGGACGACTGAAGAGAATTTTTTCCTAAGAGCATCCATCCATCCTCCAACTAGGCTTCAGACAGCACTGTCTACGTTGTCACTATCTATGGGCCATGGCCAGTCAGAGCCCATGGGCCTCAGGGGGCTCCACCCATGTGGGGGTGGAGGTCCCCACCACTCAGATCTTGAATGTGTGGTGGTCCCATGCAGTATACGATCTTCCTGTCATTCCAAAGGAAAAGTCAGAAGTGTGAATGAGTTGTTTCTAATTCTGGCTTCCAAAAAGTACAAAAGGGGGTGCTTTTTCTTGTGGAGTACACTAGTGCTCAACCTTTGGGACAGGTAGCTGAGCCCTTCTGCTGTGTAGCAGGCTGGCTCTCTGTGGGGGCACTCATGGAGCAGTGTCTGCTGGGAAAGGAGACAGGAGTTCCCTAGCTGGAGGGGTAGATAATCTCCCCCCTCCCTCCCCTCTTCTGTCCTCCCTTTCCCTTCTCCCTCCTCCTCCCTCCTCCCCTTCCTCCTCCTCCTCTTCCTTCTCTTCCTCTTCTTTCTTCTCTCTCCCTCTCTCTCTCCCCCTCCCTCCTTTCCTTCCTCCCTTCCTCCACATTCTTTATAAAACAAGGCTTTGGATCCATTCACTGCCATCCCCCAGAAGCTATGTCATTTGAATTCTTGTCTGAGTCAGGATGCTCTCCTCCAGGGGATCATGGGGCAAGGAACTTCAGCCCAAATCCATCTGAAATCCAGGAATGTTTTGTGGGCATCCGTCTCAGTCCCACTGATCATTTGTCCTCTGCCTTTCCCCAGTTGGAGTCCTTTTGCCCCCTTAAGTGGTTGAATTGGTAATGAGATCATTCTTCCCGTGTAGTGGTGAGAAGGCAGCACTCAGGTGATTGCACCTGGGTAAACAGGAGACATTAGCATGTGTTGGCTGGTGAGTGAAGCTGGTGCAGTGCCTGGCATGGGCTCAGTTGTGCCAGCAGGCAGTGGTGGAGTTTGGGCTTTTTCCCCTCTCTCCTGCCCAGCACACAACCCCCAGAGACAGGTGGGGGCTTTACAGCTTCCTGGCATCAGCCTGAAGCTTCTAGAAAGGCATCCCAAGAACTTCCAAGTTTGTCATCTTGGCTGAGACTGTGAATGTGGTCCCTTGTCTGAGGGTGGGGGCTGGGAGGGGGTGTGACAGAGGAAGAGCCGGGCCTTAGTTCTCTGGGGGTCACCATGAGAGAAGCACACCTGGGCTCGCACAGAACTCAGTGCTGCTTGTCAGTGTCACCTGGCACAATAGGACCTAGTGCCACAGTTGCAACCCTAGAAAATTTGACGACCCCTTCATAGCTTTGTTTATAAAAGGCCACACGGCCTAGGCCGTCCTTCATAAGAGAACAGAAAGCGAGTGTCCCAGTCACAAAGCAGCAACTTTCAGGCACGGTTTCCTCCTGGTCACTGAAACCATTTGTCATTTCCTGTTTTCTCCATTTTCCAACGATTCTAATTGTCAGTGTCAAAAGGCAACAACTGTTTTCTTGGGGCTTATCTTTGGAGCACATTGATTCAGAACAAAGGATGGGAGCCTCCATCTGCAAAACAAAGGAAGCAGCCTCCTCGGGAGGCCTGGAGAGAATGCTCTGGCTCCTTTTGCCAGGTACAGCAGGACCAGCCTAGCAGCAGAGGACTGGCGGTGCCTCTGGACACTGCCGTAAGGTGAAGAGTCCATGGAGGGCCCTCGCTTGCTGGTGGCACCCTGGACTTGAAGGTCCTGCAGAGCTGGCCGCCAGCACCCAAGCTGGGTGTCAGCAGCATTGTGTGGCCTTGGCAGTTTCCATAGTGATACGCTGGCCAGCTTTTCCATTAGACTCCGGGGTCCTCTGGAATGTGTGCTTCCTAGGATGAAGACGCCCCAGCACCCGCTGAAGCCTGCCCTGCTCCGGCATGGCCTTTCCTTTTGTCTGGCACGCCCCTGGGCTTGGCTTTCTCTTTCCGTCCCTCCCTTTGGACTTTACCACACTTCCCCTGCTGTTTCCTTAGTCACACTCTCTAGCCTCCATCTGCCCCTTCCCCCCAACCCTGACCTCTGTACAACTGTGTTATTTGATGAAACTAATGCAGCTGTCTCTTATACACATCTAGATCCCCAACCCTGACCTCTGTACAACTGTGTTATTTGATGAAACTAATGCAGCAACCGGTGGGGATGGAATTAAGGACCGTTTAGCCCTAGCCAGCCACCCAGGAATCTGTCCCCAGAAGCAGCAGAAGCACCTGGTTTGCAGTTAGGAGATACTGTACTTCTTAGCCGTGTCACTTTGGGCAAGTCATTTAACCTCTCTGAGCCTCTGCTGTCACATCAGTAAGCTGGGGACTGTAGATCTTCTGCCCTGATGTCCTGAGGCTGGTACAAGGAGAAGAGGTAAAGTGAAAGGACTGCCTTCAGAAATGGCCACCAACCCTGACCATCTCAGGCAGATCCGGATGGTGCGGCCTTGGGAAGTGGTCATGTGACCCCCATGCTCCTCAGTGTCCACATGGGGTGTTGCTAGATGACATCAAATAATGGGTGAGACATGCTCAGTATAATGAGAGCTTGAGAAGGCAGATTCCACCCCACCCCCACCCCCACCCCCACCCCTTGCCGCCTTGCCAATGCTTCAGCAGGGAGAGGGCAGCTGCATAGGGCAGCTGAGAAACAGCCCCTCACTGCCCACACAGCAGCTCCAGTGGAGGGGGAGGCAGGGACCAGGACAGGAAGCAGGCTAAGGGCGGGATAGAAAAGCAAACCCCAGTCTGGTGGAATTGCTTCTGGTGTAGTCTTCCCGGTGCCATGTGTTTGTCCTCTCTGCCTTGGCAGGAACCAAGGCCAGGAACTGCTGCCAGGCCTGAGAGCCGGGCACAGTCCCAAGCACTGGGTCTCTACCCCGCCCCACTCCCGCCAGCCCCACCGAGTGCAGAGAAGGGTTCCCAGAAGCCCTTTGCCGGAAAAGCAGGCACTGCACGGGCAGACCATGTTGTAGAGTCAAGTCCTCTGGTGTCTGGGGGGACACAGACCAGAAAGTGGACTTGGAGCATGTGCTCCCAGACAGAGCTGCCTTGGTGGTTGAGAAAGGGAGAGAGATGGCAGCAGTTGAGCAGATACGGCCGGGCTCCCCTCACTATGTGGGGTGAGGAGGCTTCAAGCACTGGACTGGGAGTCAGACCTGGATCCAACTCACAACCTGACACCAATTGGCTGACGATCTCAGAGCAAGTCATGCCTTCTCTGGGTCTGGGGGCTTTCATGTTATTCCCTCCTGGCTATGTTCTTCCCCTTTGCTCCTTGAGCCAATCCCAGACTGAGTGCTGAAACTGCGGCCTTGAAACTTGGCTCACTCCTCCCCCTGCCCACCCCGCCAGCTTTCAGATGGCGACAGGAAGCTCCTCCGAATTGCCTATGCTGCAACTAGTCAGGAGAAGGGCGGGAGGTTGGCAGTAAGTGTTTGGCTACTCCCAGTGTTGGAGACTGTGTCCACCTGACCATGTGATCATCCGGCCGTTCATGCCAGGACCACCAGGAACAAGCCTCGGTTCTCTTCCCAATGTCCTTTCCCTATGACAGCCCTGCAGAGGCTAGGCATCCACCACTACATAGCCCACAGTCTGCTCTGCCCCAGCCACAGCATCCTCGGCTTGCTCAGCCATTCTTTGTCTGGGTAATTTGAAGTCCAATCCCCACTCTCATTACTTACCATCCTCTGAATGCAGCCAGTCTGTCTGGGTCTCCCTGAGACTAGCATGCCCAGACTCCTGTGGGTATAGCCTGGCCAAGGCAGAGTTAGCACAGGACTGTCACCTCCCTCCTTCTACATACTCTGCTTCTATTAATGCAACCTAAAGATACATTTGTTCTTTTGGTGACCGCATCTCACTGCTGACCGATCCTGACCCATCCTGAGCAGATGGACATCCAAAATGCCTAAATCTTTTTTCTGTGTGCTCTTGCTATTAAGTTCTGTCTCTCCTGCCCCATTCTATGCTGTTGCAGTTGGTATTTTTAACCCAGGTGCAGAATCTTATTTATACCTGTGGAATTTTGCTCGAGAGGGTGGGGCATGCATGCGAATGTGTGTTGGTGTGTTCATTCATGCTTTCTGCTACACCAAAGCCAAGTCCTAGGTCCCCACGCAGTGATCCTCAGGCTAATTATTTATTGGTAGCTGTAATCTAATTTGTCTTTTTCATCTTCTGTTTAGCAAGAGGAACAGAGATCAGGTCATATGGCAATGACCCCTGAACGGCAGAATGCATATATCTCCCAACAGATGAGTCCATTTCAAGGTAAGCAGTTAAGGCCAGTGTTCCCAAGGGGGTGGGCAAGGGGTGCATATGTGGAAGTGGGGTGAGAATTCATTTCAGAGTAAGCAGTTACTGTCTGTGTTTCTGAAAGCATTGAGAGAGAAGAGATCTGAAAAACAGTTAAATAATTCATCCAACTCTAAGAGCAGGATCCCAATTGAAGGCCTGGTCTAAATGACTCCAAAATCATCATTTAATTCAAGAGACTGATTTCCCTGAGTCAGGCCCCTTAAAGCAGCTATTTCAATGGGACAGGGACACACCCACCAGGATCTGGATTAGAATCACTTGGGGGCTGCCACACCCCCAGGGCTCTGATCCTGCCCTTCTCCCACACACATATTCACACACTGCTGCAGTGACCTTCCATTTCTAATGGGTTTCTGGGACATCTGTCAGGTATAGGAAATGGAAAAGGGGTTGGGGAGGCTCTGCTTCAGAAAGTTTGTGTCAGGGGCTCCCAGAGCCTCCACAGATAGATAGCAGGGGTCCCCACTATAAATGTGATCAACATTTATTGGCCTAGGATACAGCAGTTAGCAAAAAGCCTGATGTAGTTCCCACTTCATGGAGCTTGCAGGCTAGCCAAGGAGTCATGAGTTTAGCAACCCTTATGCACCAGTGGGATGAGACTGGACCAGGCCAAGGGTAGTCTTGGGAACACTCAGCATTTGTCTGAGGGTCAGGAGAGGCTGCTTGCCCTCAACAGGTGGTCAGCATCTTTATCGTAGCCCGTGACACCTCTACACCATCGCTCTTCCAGTCTTATGGAAGACCTCTTTTGGCCTGATACCAGCAGAGTCTGTGTCCCACTTGTCCAGGCTGGAGTGCCACATTGGGCACACTCCAATTGCAGGGACAGCACAGACAAGTTTCAGGAAGGCTGTTGGCCTCCAGGAGGTTAACCTTATAGGGCTAGATTGTAACCTAGTTGAAAAACATACACATGCCATGATAATAAAAGAACCTAGGCACCATTACAAGAGAAAGAAATCATTTTTGTAGATATGAGCATGGACTCTTCGGTGGGTCAGACACACTGGGCTTGTGCCCTGATTGCACTGTCTCCCCTACCTGACTTTGGGTAAACCATATGACTGCTACATGACTCAGTGTCCACTCCAAAAAAGTACCTGTAGATATTGGCCACGGTAGATATCAGCTAGAATGGACTCTCATGACAATGAGGGGAGATGCATTTCCCATCTTAGACACCTGGGACTCTACCTTCCATCTTCTGCTCCATGTCTCTCCATCCCCAGGCTCTTCAGAACTCAGGGAGTCCAGAATGTCAACTCCTAGATTTCAGCCTTCAGAAAGGAACCCCATTACAGCTCAGTTGTACAAATGTTGTCTGAGCCCCAGATCTGGACTCAGAGACCATCTTGGCTATGAGGAGAACAGAGGGGAACAAAGCACCACCCGCACTTACTCACCACACTCACTTGCTGTCCCAGGTCACATCCATCGGGTAGAGAATTGAAGAGACTGAGCTAGCTCCTGCCACCAGCCCACCCCACCTGGCCCCTTCCTTCCTTCTACAAAATATGCACCACCTGTCAAAGGGTGGGCAGTGCCAGGCCCTGCATACAGAGCACTGAGTGTAAAAGCAGACATGGACCTTGGCCTCCGGGAGCTTCCAGTTTTCTTGAAGAGACAAATCAGCTGCCATTTCAGTCCAGTGTGATCTGCTTTTGGTGAGCACAGACCTAGGAAGTTGGGGCAGCTTCCCAGAAGAACGGAAGTCCAGGCTGAGGGCAGAGAAATGAGGGGAATTGTGAGGAATTGGGGAGCAGGGTCGGGGGGCTCAGTAGAGAGCCAAGGGCGGGAGGTGAGAAGTCCGGGCTGGGCCAGGAGCCTCACTCCGGTGGCCACAGCCCAAGTCGAGGATGCCTTTGGAACTGATCCCCAATTCTCTCTGTATGTAGCCGCCCAAGAACAAGTCACCTCCAAGTGTAGCCGGATCAAGGCAAGCCCCCCATCTAGCAAGCACTTGATGCCACCCAGAACTGGGCTCCTTCAGAACAATCTGAGTCCAGGAATGATCCCACTCAGCAGCCACCAGAGCTGCGAGGGCATGGAAGTGATCTCACCAACTCTGGGGAAGCGGCAAGGGATTTCCACCTCCAGCTCCCAGTTTCCCATCCCCTCGCACTCAGGCCAGACTCCCCTGGGCAGTCTTGGCCCTGTCTGCCAGCATACGCAGAGTCCCAAGGTCACCCCACCAGAAGTGCCCCTGCCTGGGTTCTGTCCCAGCTCCCTGGGCACCCAGTCCTTGAGTCCCCACCAGCTCAGACGGCCTAGTGTGCCAAGAATTCCCACTGTGTTTAACAATGCTGCATGGGGCACAGCGGCAGCAGCTGTGACCACAGCAGTTTCGGGGAAACCACCCCTGAGCCAAGTGGATAATAGTGTTCAGCAGCATTTTGATAGCAACTCCATCTTTGCCAAGGCGCCTGTGAGAGTGCCCCTGATGGCCCCAGTGTTCCCATCGCAGCAGACAGTTGCGACTCCCAATCAGATGGCCTCTGAAGGCAGGCCTGGCCAGAAGGTGAGTGCTGTTCTGGCCAACAACCCCAGCTTCAGCCTGCTGGGCAGTCAGAGCCTCAGGCAGAGCCCAGTGCGGGGCCCAGTGCCTGTAGCAAACACCACCAAGTTCCTCCAGAAGGGTATGGCCAGCTTTAGTCCCCTGAGCCCCATACAGGGCATCGAGCCACCAAGCTATGTGGCTGCTACTGCCACCGCTGCTGCTGCTTCTGCCATTGCCGCCAGCCAGTTCCCAGGTCCGTTCAACAGAACGGGTATTCCCCCTGAGCTGCCACCTGCCGACTTTTTGCGCCAGCCCCAACCCCCACTAAATGATCTGATTTCGTCACCTGACTGCAATGAGGTAGATTTCATTGAAGCTCTCTTGAAAGGCTCCTGTGTGAGCCCAGATGAAGACTGGGTGTGCAACTTGAGGCTGATCGATGACATTTTGGAACAGCATGCTGCTGCTCAAAATGCCACAGCCCAGAATGCTGGACAAGTCACCCAGGATGCTGGGGCGCTTTAAATCTGAGCAGGATGCCCATAGAAACGCCCACGTTGACATCGCTCTAGGGAGTGGTGTCACTCCACACCCGCAGCTGTCTCCCGTTACAATTTGAGTGGTGTTGTCAGCCCATGCTTATCCCTCCCCTCTACCTGTGACAAAATGGAAAGCTGGTGATTTTTCAAGCTACGTGTACATATTTGAAAATTTTGTAAATGGTTTTCCTAAACATTAATGACAGAAGTATTTATACTTCATTTTGTGACTTTGTAAATAAAGCAACGGCTTTTGTTTCAGTAGAGTTGTGTTTAGTATGCATTGTTTTGTGTTTATTATACATTGTTACAAATATGCAGACTGTGTTGTTTGCTCCAGTGATACCTTGTTAAGCTAGGTGGCTGAGTCGCTTATGGTTTTGATGCAATGAGCAATGTGGATGTGACCAAGAGTTGTTGTGCAAGTTGACAAATGCCAAATAGAAAACCACTTGGCCATTTATTTCTATGTTCACTAAAAATCCTATTGCCTTGTGTGATTCTTAATCTCTTTTGCAAACCTTTCAGTCTCCGCTAGCTCTTTCCTAATGAGCATTTACAGCAGAAGCCGTTTTATCATTAAGTGCCCCACAGAGACACTTTACCAGGAGGCTGAGAGAGTTCTCCAGATCTGGGAGAGGCGCAGAGAGAGCGTGTGCGCCGAGCACCGTCTCAGCAATCCACCTTGAGGAGCTAGAGTATCCTCTTCCCTTTACCATTCAGACCGAGAGAAAAAGCCCAGCTTGTGTGCACCCTCGTGGGGTGAAGGCGAGCTGTTCCTGGTTTAAAGCCTTTCAGTATTTGTTTTGATGTAAGGCTCTGTGGTTTGAGGGGGAACATCTGTAAACATTAATAGTTGATTTGGGGTTTGTCTTTGATGGTTTCTATCTGCAATTATTGTCATGTATATTTAAGTGTCTGTTATAGAAAACCCACACCCACTGTCCTGTAAACTTTCCTCAGTGTCCAGACTTTGTGTAATCACATTTTAATTGGCACCTCGTATTTCGCCTCTACATTTGAAATCTGGCGTCTGTTTCAAGCCAGTGTGTTTTTTCTTCGTTCTGTAATAAACAGCCAGGAGAAAAGTGCCTCTATGTTTTTATTTTTCAAGGGAGTATTCAGTACCTACAAAGCCAAGTCAGGAAGCCTGCTAGTGGCCTTGCTTATTTCAGAGGCTGCTCGATGCCTTGTGTGTCAGAAAGAAAGATTCGGTAGTTTTGCACTACAGCAAAGAAGCCTGTTATTTGGGGCTCAGCCCCTCATTTTATAGAGGATGAAACAGAGAGGGATGGGAGGCCACAAAGACAACTGCCCTGGGAGCAGGGGTGGCGAGGACTTGCCCTGAGGGTCTAGACTCTCTGCACCACCATCCTGTCTCCCTTGCCGAAGACCACGCATGCCCTTCTTTGACCAGACCCTGCCACCTGATAGACCAGGACCTGGTAGGTGGGTATCCAGGTTTCATGGATGGAACCACATCTCCCCAGAAGTGGGGAGGTAGCTATTGGGATGCACGCCTCCCGCCATGTGCTGTAGGAGTGCAGCTGAAGCAACAGCTGGGATCAGATGTAGTCACAATCGAATGCATCATCACATTTATCCCTCTAACTGGCTGGAAGAGTTGATATCCTCATCCCTAAGGTACAAAATGTTCCAATTTGATCAGTGGCTTTCAGGAGCTGAGAAAGGCATATGCTCTGAGGCAGAGCTGTTATGTCCTGCAGAGCCTAAAAATGCTCTAAGAACATGCCCCCTGCCAAAATTCTCAATGGCTGTGACAAGGGACAGTGATCGACCAATGGGGTTGGAAGCAGACCTCCCCAGTCCAGGGACCAGAGGTGGGACAGAGGGGTCATAGAAAGAGTCATTATTCCAACACTCCAGCTCTTGGCCAGTCCTCACACAGTCCCTTCCTGCTTCCAGGTGAGAGAGAGATCCTCATAGGTCTGGGTAAAGTCCTTCAGTCAGCCTTCATTCCCTGTCACCAACTTTGTCTCTGTTCTCCCTGCCCGTCTCAGGCAGCGCTCTTCAGGAAGCCTCTCCAGGAGCCAGCCTCACTGCAGCTCCCACTACTGTCCCTCTGCCTCAAGTGTCCCAACCGTGCCAGGCCCCAGACAGGCTGCAGCTTTCCCTCGGGGCCACACCAAAGCACTTGGGCTCAGCTGTGCTGTCCCCCTCTGTCACTGAGCTCAGCTGCAGCAGGGGTGGGGTGCCAGGAGGCCCATTTACCCTTCTCTGGCTCTGTGTTAGACCCACCTGCCCAGTGACTGCTGCTTAGAACCTACCCGCTGGGAAAATGAAGCCCTCCCAGAGGGGCCACCTCAACCTGAGAGCCTCATGGATCACACCAGTCCCCACTCAGCTATGCCAGCCCTCAGAGACCCACAGATAAAAGCTGAGCTTGACTCGCAGAACTGGTTCCATCTTCCATTCCCAGAGGGTTCAACTTCCTACCCCAACCACACAGGGAACCTCAAGGCTGAGCCAGTGTGGGCTGCAGTGCAGACCAGCTTCCTGGACACGTCCTGCTGCCACCTGACCCCAAGCTGGCCCTATCCTCGTTCCTCCTGGCAGTGCGTGTTCTGCCAGTCTGCTCTCCCTTAGCTGTCCTCTCGCTGTACTGTCAGCCTCTCATTTTCCAGGTGCCCCCCAGGGGCTTTCCACATGACCCTGTCACCCCACAGCCCATCCAGCACCAACTCCAGCGCTCTGCTACCCTTCAAAGGAGTGGCAGTGCCCTGCTTCGCCTCCCACTCACCCCTCAACCCAGAGCAATCCGGTTCCAGTCTTGCCTACTTCCCCCTAAGTACTCTAGTCACAGTTCCAAATTCCTCCTGGTCATAAAGCCAAATGAAGCTTCCCGGTCCTCAGTGGACCTGCCCCTTTAGCAGTACTGGACTCTCTCCTCCCAGAAACCTGTTTCCCCTTGGCTCCTGGAGCCCACACTCAGCTGCAACGCTTCTGCCTCTCTGGCCTGTAGCTTGGCCCTCTCTCCCAACCTGAGGTCCATTCTCTCCTGCTGCTCTACACGATGTTGCTCCTTCCATTACTTCCTCCCACTCAACCAAGGCTCCTTCATTAGCTCTTTATCTTCTGGTTTCTTCCCCTGGGCAGACAAATGGATTCAAGAGCCTGTGCCCCAGAAGCCTGGCACTCCAGGATCTCAGCACCTCAGCATCCCAGTACCCTAGCATCTCAATACCCCAGCACCCCAGCACCATAGTATTCTAGCACCCCATTGTCCCAGCATCTCAGCACTCCAGAGTCCCAGCATCTCAGCACTCCAGCAGCCTAGTGCCCCAGCACCCCAGCAGCCCAGCATCTCAGCACCCTAGCATTGTAGCATCTCAGCACCCCAGCAGCCCAGCATCTCAGCACACTAGTACTCCAGTATCTCAGCACCCCGGCACCTAGGCATCCCAACACCCAGTACCCCAGCACTTAAGCATCCCACCACTACCATATCTCAACACTCCAGCACCCCAGCACCCCAGCACCTTAGCATCCCAGCATCTCAGCACCTCAGCATCTTGACATTCTGGCTGAGGTCAGCATGGTATATCTAGTCAGGGTCCTAACTTTCACTTCGCAGGGAAATGCTGCTGGACTGGGTCTCATGTTGGGCTGAAGCTCTCTAGACCCCTTGAAGACAGGATAAAAGAGCTTGGAGACTGCTGGGTATCCCCCACGGAAGAGTTCACTCTCATCCTGCTTCAACAACAGCCTTCTCTTTCACTGCAAGTTTGTCCCTGAGAAGACTGGTGCAGAAGGCACTCAGATGCCTGTGGCTCCTGAAGAGCTGAAGGTGGAGGCCTGAAGGCCTCCCTATGAGAGGCACAGAAAAAACCATGATTGCTAGGGAGGAGGTGCTCCCTCTACAACCCACTCCATAATCTGCCCCCCCCGCCCAGTTCTGAGGCCAACCCCAGGGGAAAGTGCCAGATCTCCAGGGAGGTGTATGAGACCTCAGGGGCTCCCTCCTCCCTTACAGCAGGCTCGGGCCCCTGGGGCCCCCAGGGCCAAGGTCTGTGGGTAACCTACTATCTCTCACTTGTCCTCCAGCCACAAAAGCCAGGGAGGTCTGGTAATGGACATGAGGTTCTGAAGAAGCACATATGACTGGCTTCCTAATGTGTGGTTGTTCAGTGACTCAATAAACATGCATGTGCCAGGCATGGGGAAATAGACAGACATGATCCCCAACCTCTCCTGGAGTGAACTGGAAGGGAGGAGTGTTCATTCCTCAGGATTACACCAGGGAAACAAACCAGCAGGAGATATATATGGTTTTGGGGGGGTCAAGGAAGAGGAAAAACCTGGCAAGGCAAGTCCAAAATCCATAGGACAGGCTGTCAGGAAGGGCAGCCTGGAACCTCTCAAGCAGGAGCTGATGCTGCAGTCCACAGGCAGAATTTCTTCTTCCTCAGGAAAATCTCAGCTTTGTTCCTAAGGCCTTTCAACTGATAGGCTGAGGTCTGCCCCTTCCCCCACATTCTCCAGGATAATCTTCCTTACTTGAAGTCAACTGATTAATCACAGTTACAAAACCCCCTCACAGGCGGAGCTTGTAGTGAGCCGAGATCCGGCCACTGCACTCCAACCTGGGCGACAGAGCGAGACTCCGTCTCAAAAAAAAAAAAAAAAAAA